TTTGAGGGCTTTGCGGCGTTCTTCTTCTGAGGGAGTGCCTTCTGCGGGTGCCCCCGCTGCTGCAGCTGGCGCCGCTTCAGCGGGTGGCCCCGCAGAGCCCTTGTCCCCCTTACCTTTGGCGGCTGCCTCTGCCCGCACCGACCTCAACCCAGCCTCGGGCTTCGGTCGTGCTTTCATTCGTGCCGAGCCTGGTCGTGGTGCAAGGCGCGGCTGATGCAGAGTTGGAGTCCAGCCACCTCGGAAGGCTGCCTTAGGCTGGTCGCGATCTTCGTCCTTGACATCGCCTTGGGCAGCCGGTGGCATCGGGGCTGATGGTCCAGCAAAAGCCTTCCTCCTCTCCGTCACGGACGGGCCGGTAGGCTCTCCCGGCTCAGGGTCGTCCTTCTTGGCGATCCCTCTGGCCTTCGCACGCCCCTGTGAACCTTCGGGGCTCTTGGAAGGAGACCTCTTCTCAGGAGAAGGTGGAGGCGAGGAGTCGACCACAGGTCCTGGAGGTGGTTCGACGTCTTCGTCGTCCTCTGGTGGTGGACCAGGAGGGTCTTTAGGAGGGCCTTCTGGCTGGCCATGATCATGGATGACCTGCCTCATCTGGTCGATGTTGGCACTACCTTTTATGGCCAGCTTGTACTTGCCATTTTCGTGGCGGTAAAGCACCCTCGTGCAAAACCACTTCTGCGCCGAGGAGCTGCAGTACCAGCAGGCGCATCCATCGGGGAATGGATTCTCTGAGCCGTCTTCCGCCGCCCATTCTTCGTTCAGTTCGGTCTGTTCAGTACCGGCGGCGGATCCGGCAGCAGATGCAACAGCCATCCACTCTTCGTCCGCGGACCCAGCGGCTGGCGCCGCGCCCGCGGGTGGCCCCGCACCTCCGCTGGAGTCTGCGGGTGACCCCGCCTCTTCATGGAATCGGCGGTCCCATTCTTTGAGGCGATGGTCTTTAGGAAGCTGTTCCCAATTTCCCCCGACAGTGTCAGCAACCTCCTCGGTCATAGGGACGCGATCGGCTTCGGTAATGCGCTTTCCTCCTCCAGGGACCTTCTTGTTAGGATCGTGGACGGTGCCAGCGTCATCTCCATGAGACCAGTTCAAGGGGGTCTCACCGTGATGAGGGCTCCTGGAGGGGCGGTCCATTGGACAGCCGCGCATGTGACCTTTGAATAGCTCGCATTGACATACTTGTTTCCTGTATGTCTTGCGATCGTTGATGATCTCCTGTTTCTTAGCCTTTCGGTCCCAAGCCTCTGGCGTTTTAGTCTTGCCACCTCTGGTGCGTATTATGATGCCAGATTCGTCCCGTTTGCAGTGCTCCTTGGACCACCAGTGGCGGATCACGTCCATCGGGTAGCCGGGGTACCAATTGATGTACCACTCCGGCACGTACTGAGCGGATACACCTCTGGAGTGCTCCGTGCTGTACGGGTAGCCAGATGCATCATGCGTAGGGCGTCGTGGAGCTGAACGGCTCCTCCTGCGGGTTGGCCCCGCTGACGCACTGCCACGTTCCATGGGCCTTTCATCTTCATGACGGTGCTCTGGATCTCGAGGTGGCGATGGTCGTCTGTTCTTCTTTGCATTGCGCCTGTCCTCCGAGTCCTCTGAGCTGTCCTGGACCATGAATACGTGCTGATGCGGGCTTTGGAAGCACCCGATGTCGGTCAGCTGCTCCATAGTGAGGTCGTTGAGGTCCATCTGGTCGCAGCCCTGCATGAACTCGTCCATAGACCAAGCGGGTAGCCCCGCTGCTGCAGCTGGCGCCGCTTCAGCGGGTGGCCCCGCTAGGGCCTGGAGTGCGGTCAGCATCTGCGGTGCCGACATATCAGGATCCAGGTATGGACGCAGCCTTGCGGCCCCTGGGCGCGACAGCAGGTCGTTCATGGTCATCTGCTGATGTGCTGGCGCACTCAGGAGCTGGATCGCTTCTGCGACCTGCTCTTGGAGCCTGTCCTCATAGTCCTCTTCGGCCTCTTCAGAGTCAGAATAAGCTGCGGGATGGCCCCGCATTTCGTCGTCAGCGTCTCCCGCTTCCGAGCCGGCTCGCGAAAGATCAGGCAGCAACGGCATGCCGATCACCTGCGGTGCCAGCGCGGCGGCGAGCTCCTCCTCGGTCGCCGGGACGGTCTCAGCTTCGGAGATCTCGTCGTCGGCGGGTGGCCCCGCTGGAAGACCGAACCAGGCGTTGAACGCGCCCTCGTCGACTTCGTCCCAGCCGTGGAACTCGTCGAAGAGGGTCACCGCGTACTCTTCCAGGGCTACGGTCGCATCAGCGTAGCGGGCCATCACGTAGTACGTGGAGGAGCCCGCGGCGGGAGCCGCTTCTGGATTGACGTAAAACTCGTAGTCAATGTAGTCTATGTTATCCATAAAAGAGTTTTGAGCCAAATGCACGGATCCCTTTCCTTTCCCCTTGGGGCAATGATCGCGCAAATGCTCTGTACTACCGCATGTATGACACTTCATAGTGTTGCCAGAAGCGTCCCTAGGGTTACCCCTCCGCCCTTTTCCCTTACCAGAGGTCCGCCTGTGACCCCGACCTTTGCCTCCGATAAGAACTTCTTCAAAAACTACATCAGTTAAGGACGTGAGGAAAGCAGTGATACCCCTACCATGCATACGGCGTCTGCGACCCCCTTTGCCACGACCCTTTCCATAGCGTTTGAAATATCGGCGTACTGCACGTCTCACTTTTCTGACCAGTTTCTTCATAATGCGCCTCCAACGGCGTTTTGATTTGCGATAAGCCATCAAAGCGGCTTCCGCTCTTTGTTGTTCAGAAAGGTGAGTGTCATCAGCTGGATAGTCATTGCCAGCAGAGACCATACCATTGTGATCACCGTCAGATGAGGTATCTGTGTCAGCGCCAGATTCAAACGGAGAGGGTGGCTGAGACCCTTGAGCGGATGACTCCGCTTGGCCCCAGAGGGTTGTGCCCGAGGGCGGGCTTGCAGTGTAGGCGGCGCCCGGCGTGTAGTTCGACCAGGCGTTCGCCTCCGCTGCCTCTGCCGATGCCTGGCCGGTCTGCCCTAAGAGGGCAGTGGCCTCGTTGGGCATATCGGCTGAATCAGCCCAGGGACTTGGCTCGCCAGGACCAGCGGGTGACCCCGCAGTCGTGGCGTAGACACCTGCATGTGCGTGGTGCCCTGTGAAGATGCCCGCAATGTTGCCAGGAGAGCGCTCGGCAACATGCCCGTAGTTCCTCATCCTGGTCAGCAGCCTATCATAGTCTGCTTGCGTTCTGGGCATCTGATGATTGAAGGGCTCCAGCAGGTGTTGGGCTCGTGACGCGCCAACGCCTAACGCTCTGAAAAGGATCAGCGTTAGGATATGAAAGTTGGGGATGACAAATCCAACAGAGTTAGCCTCGTCACGGGCCATCTCGAATCGAGCTAACACTGAGTCGATTCGCTCGCCCCTTTCGACGCGAAAGTCGATAAGGGCAGTGCCAGAGTTGAGCTGGCGCTCATCTTCCAGATTTTCAAATTTGGTACTCAATAGATAAAGTATAAAGTAACTGCATCCGTTGGCTGTCCGTTGACATTTACACCATAATTGATGATCTGGGAGGGGACCTGCATGGCGATACGACGAGCAAGGCCTTGAAGACCACGTTGTAGTGCTGCAGCTTGCTGAGGTGGCGTCATATTGCCGCTCGTCACGTTTATCCATGCATGTACTTCGCGAACGTACTCGCGAAAGGGCGTAGTACCGGCTGGGTCCCAAGAAGGGCCGGTAGTACGCGCGTCGTCCATCCCCTGCCGCATGTAGCCCACAGTACATCCCATTATCACCCATAGAATGCCGAAGATAGTTATCTTGATCCAGTGCATGTGCATCTCGGCTTCGGTGATTGGTTTAGGCTGTGGTTTGTCAGGCTCGGGCGTAGTAGCCGTAAGGCGCCTGACCGGCACGGGATGCAGGTGGCCCCGCTGCGGGTAGCCCCGCAGAGTGACCACGTTCTCGATCGAGTTGCCGATTGGCATCTGGTGGAAGTCGGGAGTGAAGTAGCGCAGTGAGGTAGGAGAGAGCGTCTCGAGCTCGCGGGTCGCCCCGCTAGCCCGATCGCGGACTGGCTCCGCTCCTCGCAGAGCCGGCGCAACATGGTATTCCACCGTAGTAGTAGTCCACCAAGTTGTGCCGTGGATGATGGGTATTAGAGCGAGAGCCAGCCACACGAGAGTGTAGCCAGCTCCGCTACCAAGTCGAAAACGCACTGGTAAGCCAAGATATATGTTCCGCCTTAGGCGCTCCCATATCCCAGGCTTTGGCTCATACCGCATGAGCAAGAGAGCAAGATGAAGCATGGGATCTGGAGTAAAGGATAGAAGGGGCATCTTCAATAGAAAGGTCTTTTCCGATCTCAGATGCGAGTAGTGCGCCTCGGTGAGGCACAATCACATGTTCGGCCGGGCCCGGCTTGAGCCAGGCACGGCAGCGGTGCATGCTCGATTTACATCTCGCCTTTAACCCTCTCCGTTTAAAGTGGGTCCCGGGGGGGCAGATTCGTTTTTCCTCGGGCGGCCTAGAAACCTCGAAAACACTCCAAATGAGGTCCGAATGCCCAAGATGGCCCCCGAGACGGCCCAAGAGGGCCCCGAGTCGCCCAAAGATCTGCCGCAAACGCCCAAGACAGCCCCAAGACCGTCCAAGAAGCCTCCAAGACGTCCCAGGCCCCCTCCAAGAGACCCCCAGGAAGCCCCAAGAGGCCCCCACGAGGCTTCCAAGCGGCCCCTCAGACCTTCCCAAGAGGCCCACAAACTACCCCCAAGAGGCTCCCAAGAGCGCTCGTCGTCGTCGTCGTCGTCGTCGTCGTCGTCGTCGTCGTCGTCGTCGTCGTCGTCGTCGTCGTCGTCGTCGTCGTCGTCGTCGTCGTCGTCGTCGTCCCCATTCAGGGTCGGCGGCACCGGCCGTAAGGCCTTCGCAATAGGGTGAGGAATGAGCATGGCCAGGCGGAACAGCAGCAGCAGAAGCCAGGATGGGAGGAGCGGCAAGAGTAGGAGGACCAGGGGATGGCGGAGGAAGGGAGAGGAGCGGGAACACAACGATGAGCAGGGGCTCGGCTCCAGAAGGGGGGCCCACGCGGGGGCAAGAGCGCCGATCCTGTGATGAGGCCCGCGCTGCAGCGGGAGCACCACCTGGAAAGGCAGAAAGCATCCCGACAAACGAGGCCACCCGATATCTCAGTGTGTTCGAATTCCTGCGTGTGAGAACGGTGCGCGGAGAGGGTGCGACACCCGCGGGAAAATGGCAACACGAGAAACAAGATCGATGGTGATACTGACACTAAGGAAGAAAAATGAAAGAAAAAGAGAGCGAGAGAGAAAGAGAGAGGGAGGAATAAAGAGAGAGAGAGAGAGAGAGTGTGTGTGTGTGCGTGTGTGTGATATGGAGGGGGAACATGGAGACGGGGCAGGAGGGAGGGGAAGAACGAGGACGACGGAGAGGAGGAAAGCCACAACGCCAGCAACTAGCACAGCCTAGGTCGATCGCGGAGCTCGTCAATCTCCTCCGTCGCCCTCTTCCTCGAGAGCTCTCTTGGCTGCCAGCTTGGCTCTCAACCTGTCCTTCTTGGCTTTCTCCCCAACGTTCTCGGCGTTCACCTCGTCGTCCTTCTTGTCACACTTCTTCTTGATCGCAGCTTTCAGATCGGTTGCTTCGGCCATGTCCTTGTCCGCAGCTTCCGCTTCTTCCTCCGACTTCTTCCCACGTCCAGCTGCCTCTCCGTTCTTTCCTCTTGCAGTATCCTTGGTTGCCTCCACTTCGTCCTCCTCCGCAGCCGCCATCTTAAGACCTGCGTCCTCTTCATCTTTGCGCAATTTTGCCTTGAGCTGCTGGCAAGACATCTTTTCTATCTTTGCATCCACATCCTCAACATCCTCGTCACCGTCTGGCTCTTCAGCATCTTCGTCCTCCCTCCCGTCGGCATCGCCATCCTCGGCTTCTTTCGCGAAGCTGGAACTCTTCGCCTCCGACCTCCTCGAGCCAGACGGTGGCTCCTCCGCCCAGAAGCCCGAGCGCGCGGCCCGCCTCCCTTGGCCCACCAGGGACTCCACCCCGGCGCCCCGCTCCCTGCGCCCGGCGCTGAGCCCGCACCTGCCCCACGGCGAGGCCCCGCCCTCCGCCTGGAACCCCGCCGCGCCCACGCGCCTCTCCCGGCAGCCCGGTGCCGAGCGCGCCCCCGCGCCGCCCCAGAGGAACGCGGAGCCGCCAGAGCCGCGCCGGGCCCTCGGAGGGCCCGAGCACGCCGCGCCCGGCGCCGGGCCCCAGAAGCTGGCGGGAGGCGGCCGGCCGGCCCGCGGCGGCCAGCGCTCCTGCAGGGGGCCGCCGTGGTCGCAGCCCGCCGCGTCCGCGCCGAGGGCGTCGAGCCGCCGCATGGGTACGCCCGCGGGCGCCCGCCGATTTGGACGCCCGAAGTGGGTGCGGAAAAAATGGGCACACTGCCCAATCACAAATGTGGCCCCAAACCAACAGCGGCCGCCGTTGGGCAAGCAGCCTTCTATTTCAAATGGACACAGGCCGCGGCGGCGCGGACAGCGAGTCATGTTCAAAATGCACAGGAACTTCTGTTGGGCATTGTACCCATTCTTTCCGTACCCATGTCAGTCGTCCCGAGCCGAGGGGGCAGAGACGCGGGACCTGGCACCGCCCACCTGGCAGGCTGGTGGGTGCTCGGCCGCGCTGGGGCCGAGACGGAGGCGGGCGGTCCTCCTCTCTGGGAAAGGCTCAGGCCCAGACCCCCTCGAGGCATGCAGAAATCATGACGGGTCAGCGTTTGCTATCTTCGGCCTCTGCGGGCCCTTACCAGGCCTCGGGACCGGCAAAAAACGACCCAGGACCGGTCCCTGGGAATCGGTCGAGACCTCAGGGGAGCGACGTTATGAAAAAAACAGGACGTCGGGTGTCTGGGGATACGGGCGGTCCTCCTCTGTGGGGACGGCTCGGAGTGTGCACCAGGTCGTCAGGTCGGCCTAGGAGCTCGTTGTTGAATTAGGCGCCCCAGCTTCCCAAACCTTCGAAACGCCTGGGTGTCTGTGAGCCGAATTCCTTCGCCGACCTCCTTGGCACCCTTGCCGGCCAGACGACGTAGCGTATACGGGCGAGCCTATCCGACTCTCGCTCATCCTTCTCCTTCTGCCCGCTGTCGATCAAGAAAGAAGACCTGCGAGCTCGTCTCCTGACAGAAAGGCCAGAGGGCTCTCTCTGAAAACACTCCCCAGACAGTGCCTGCATTCAGGTGTCTTGCTTGGGTTGAGGGTAGTCGGCCTGCGTTTCTGGATTCTCGGCTGGTTGGCGCCCGTAGCCGCCTCGTGGCAGCCCCGTGCGCTGGCCAACGTCTCCAGACTCACGCGGCGGCCTCGTGCGGCGAGTGGCGTTTCCAAACCTTCGCCGGGTGGGCGCCCGTATTCTGGACGCCCCGTGCGCTGGCTGGCGCTTCCAACCTCTCGCACGGTGGGCACCCGTGGCTGTGGTCTGGCCACCGCGCGCGCTGGCTGAGCTTCACGATGTTCGCCCAGTGGGCGACCATGGCCGCCTCGTGCCCTGCGCGCGCGCTATCGATGAAATCGACGGCAAACCAGAGGTTTTCCTGTTTTGTCACACGTGACCATTCGGGCAACACGAGGGCACACGTCGAATACTACAACAACCATCGCGCGCCCGCCAATTCCGTCTAGTATTACATATGTGGGCCGCGCGAGTGCGTCTCCGCGCGCGCACGACAGATCATTCCCAATACAGTGTTAAACAGTGTCGACCCCAAACCATGTATTTATAGCAAAAAATGTTGTGCAATCTATATATCTATATATATACACATACATACATACATACATACATACCTACCTACATACATACATACATACATACATACATACATACATACATACATACATACATACACACACATACACACACACACATACATACATACATACATACATACATACATACATACATACATACATACATACATACATACATACATACATACATACATACATACATACATACATACATACATACATACATACATACATACATACATACATACATACATACATACATACATACATACACACATACATACATACATACATACATACATACATACATACATACATACATACATAGATATGCGGGGCAACCTATGTGGTGGAAAATCTATGTAGTGCGATCTATGTGGCGCAATCGATGTGGTGCCAACCTGTGTTGTGCACCCTATATTGTGCAATCAGTGTGGTGCAATGTATATACATATATATATACACAGATTGTGCAGTCGATGTCTCAGACCATATGCTGTGCAACATCTATGGTGCAAATTACGTGGTGCAAGGTAGGTTATGCCATAAATGTGATGCAATATGTGTGCAGCTGATGTGGGGCAAAAAATGTGGTGCTATATGGTTTGTGTCCTATGCGTTGTACAGTCGATGTTGAGCACTACATGTGATGCGACATATGCGGTGCCATAGCTTTCGTGCAACCTATGGTGTCCAATATATGCTGTGCAACATATGTTGTGCACCCTATGATGTGCAATCGATGTTGTGCAATATATGTGGTGCAATATATGTGGTGCAATGTATGTTGTGCAATCTATGTTGTGCAATCTATGTGGTGCAATCTAGGCTGTGCAATCTATGTGTTGCAATCTATGTGGTGCGATCTATGTTGTGCAATTGACTACCCTGCACCGCGCTTGACCACTCCACTGCTCGCGCAAACATCCCACCCACCCACCCGCAACTTGGTTCGCAAAATCTCTTAAGACCGTGACGGTGGGTACCAAATGGCACTTGCCAACGACAGCGACGCCGACGACGACAGCGACAACGACGACGACGACGACGCCGACAACGACTACGACGACACCGACGACGTCTCCAACGACTTCGACGACGCCGACAACGACGACGACGACGACGACGACACCGACGACGACGACGACGCCGACGACGACGACGACGATGACAACGACGACGACGATGACGACGACGACGACGACAACGACGACGCCGACGACGACGACGACGACGACGTCCGACCCGACGACGACGACGACGACGACGACGACGACGACGACGACGCGACGACGGCGACGACGCGACGCCGACGACGAGACGAAGACGACGACGACGACCGACGCCGACGACGACGACGAAGACGACGACGACGTCGCCAACGAAGACCACGACGAGGAGGAGGGAGGACGACGACGGCGACAACGGACAACGACGACAACGACGAGGGAGGAGGGAGGACGGCGACGACGCGAAACGACGAAAAGGAGGAAGGACGGCGACGCCGACGACGACAACGACGAGGGAGGAGGGAACGACGACGACGACAACGACGACGACGACGGACGACGCGACGAAATAGGAGGGACGACGACGAGACGCGGACGACGACGACGACGACGAGGGAGGAGGAGGAAGGACGACCACGGCGACAACGACGACGGAAACGACCACGACGCCAAAGAGGACGACGACGACGAACACGAGGAAAGACGGACGACGACGTAGGCGACGACGACGACGACAACGACGCGGGAGGAGGGAGGACGGCGACGACGACGACGACGACGACGACGCAAGAGCGCGCGCGCACGTTTTGTTGAAAATCCGTGTTGCGAAACCTTGGGTTTTGTAGGTTTTTTGGACGCGCGATTTCGAAATCCTTCCGAAACCGATGGGTTTTGAAGGATTTCGGCGTACGCGCGCGACCACGCGCGCGTCTGCACTTCGTCCCATTTTTTGCAGAGGATTCTCGCGACGGCACACGCGCAAGGGCGTTCGACTGATTTCGGCATGCGCGCGCGCGAAACCCGTTTGGTAGCATTTTGTGAAAAACTTGAAAAACCTATGGTTTTTTTCTTGAGATTTCGCAAGAGCTCGCGCGGAAGTTTTTTGTTGCAAATCACTGTTGCGAAACCATGTTTTTAAAATGTTTTTGGGAAACTCGATTGCGAAATCCTTCCGGCACCGAAGGTTTCTGAAGGATTTCGGCATGCGCGCGCGACGACGCGCGCGTGTGCACTTCGTCTCATTTGTTGCAAGGGATTCGTGAAAAAGTGTTATGTTAGAACAAAAAATGTCACCGCATAGTGTTTTTTCTTTCAAAGGGACCTTCAGAAGGGGGGGAAACCGGCCTGCTTGGGATGGTACGATTTCATATTTAGGATGGACGAGTTTGCAGAATATATATATATATATGTGTGCGAAATCATACTATCCCCAGGGGAACCGATAACTCCGGGGGGGGGGGGGTAGAGTCTATTCTCTTTTTAGAAAGGAGAATCTATGTAGTTCGGCGACGGGGCGCCGACGGGGCGCCAACGGCGGCAACAAGCGTGGACACCATCACCGCGGCCCACACGACGGGCGGCGACGAGGCAGGGACGGGCGGCCACGGCGGCAACAAGCGCGGCGACCAACACCGCGGCCCAGACGACGGGCGGCGACGAGGGGGCGACAGGGCGGCGGCTCTCAATTTCACTGCGATTTCACCCCCTCACCTCCGATCTCCACCATCAGCGTCTTCACCATCTTCATCGTCGTCGTTAATGTCGTCCCCACCGTCGTCATGAGCATCATCAATGGCATCGTTCCAGGTGGGTTTGGCCAACGGGTTACCAGTGGGTGGCTGCAACGTTCACACGAGAACCAAAGTTGACAATTTCAATTTTGACAGGCAATTTCTTTGGCCAACGAAAACCAGGACCCAACCACCTTCGAGCTTCAGCACGATCGCTCATCTTCGACAACAAATCAGATCACCGCAGCCAAGCCGGTAGCAGCTCCCTCCCGTCATCCCTGCCGCATGATATCGCACGTGCACACGAGTTGCTCATCTCAAAAGATCATGTTGCAAGAACTCCTTGCAATCAGCGATCGAGACAGCAAACACACGCGCGCGCGCGCATGTCGACATTGTCTGTATATATACATATAAATATATATACAAACCAAGCACATAATTCTTGATCAATTCCAACCTGAAGACCTTAAACCGTCCATTGGTTTTCAATAAAGGTTCGTGGTGGTATTCTGCCCGCTCGCATTTGCAAGGATCAAAACAAAAATCCGCGTATTCAAACAATCCCGCCGACAACCAGCACTCTCATCTCATCTCAACACGCGGTGCATCCGCGTTCATCTCGCCTGCGCCCAGTGCACTAATCCACGTCAAATAACCCCATGCGGGCCACACTCACGCGCCGCCACACGCGGGTGCTGATTTCCGTTTCAAACCGTTGGTGTTATGAGAATGAAAAACTGTGAGACATCTCGAATGTCTGCGCGCGCACCTCCTGATCACCATCATCAGCGCCATCGCATCAACGCCGCTATCGTCATCGCCAACCCCGCCATTGCCGTCATCATATAAACACAATCACTTTCATCACCGACCCATTGACATTATCATCGTCGTCGTCACTAGCATCGGCACCATCATGGGCTTCGCCGTCGCCTTCGTTGTTATTGCCACCACCATCGTCATTATTATCATCGCTGCCGCCGTTGTGGGCGTCATCATAAAATCTCGCCCGCCAGGGTCACCGACCCTCACTGACGTGCCCGCGCGCTGACGCGGCCTCTGAAACGAGCTGGACGCTCCCGTCTGTCAGCGCCACCGCGGCCGCACCAGCTGTGCCAGCTGGTCGCTCGGCCCGCGAGCGTACGTGCGCCAGCCTGGCCGTTAAAGATGCTCCAGCAGGTGCCGATCAGGAACCGCAATCTTGGCCGAATGGGCTT